CCCCCCCCCCCCCCCCAACAGATGCAGGAAAATTTCCTGTGGCCCCCTTTCTACTCCAAGTTTTTTTCCCATGATCCCGGTACATGCATGATGACCTGGGTATGGTCTTGGACATTTGGTCATGGTAGGCCCTACGCAAGCATCACAAGATAAGCTATCATAAAGCAACATAACTTTTAATAAACAGCCATGAAGATGAAGCTTTTTTCTAAGAAAATAAATTGCGTTTTAGCATGCACTGAATATCACAAATATGTAAAGTTCCTAGTAATTTGTTCATGTGTACTTTAAGTTTAAATTGACTATTGATGCATGCACCAAAACCTTACTTTATATAAATGAAAGAGTTTTTATAAATGAAAGAGTATGAAAGTTGATTGCTTTGATTTTTATGTATTATGTAATCATTAATGTTTTGGTGCCCCCCTCAAAATTTAATTTTCCTGAGATGACCCCCCTCTCACATCGCTATTTTTTTGTGCCCCCCCCCTGCAAAAACCACCAGCCCCCTCCTCCTGATAAAAAATGAACGGAATATATATATATATATATACTTTCATATATCTTTCACTTTCATATAAAATGTGCTGTACATAAAGATATTTATAAAATAGCCTTTTAAAAACATGTTTTCTATCTTTAATATTAATTAGTTTAATCTTACTGGTATAGCGTAATACTGTTTAAGGGGTAATTCACTAAGGCATTAATTAAAGCTGAACGAGCGAGCGACCAACCAGATTATGAAAACGACATTTCCAGGTATGTTTAATTATTTCGTTTAGTTGCGAGCCAGTGAGACAGAACAATATCTTTCTGGAAAGAACATTCTTGATTCAGGAACACTAAAAGGTAGGTATAGTTAAGCGATTTATAGCCGGTGCACAGACTAATTTATTGCTTATTACAATATAAGTGGGATATAACACGTGAATTGATTGGCTAATGCTCGTGCATGATATTTGTCTCCGGTTTCTTGCAAAAACAATGTGAGTGCCGATCCAAAGTTTGTTCGAAAGCAAAAAAGAATATACGGAAAATGAAGTACAAAAGCATCCAACAAGAAACAACGGCGTGACAAAGGCAAAGAAATTTTCGCAGCTGTTTTTGAATCTCATTTAAACCACACGAGAAAAACTTTAAAAAGCCACAGGAATACAAAAATGAAAGCGAAAATCTAAACAAATTTCATCAAGAAAGTACCTTAAATACTTCAAATTAAAACAGCATGGCATATTTTCGTAGAAACACAAAAAACATAATGATAATTTCAACGAAACAACTTGTCGATAACTTGATCAAATTCGGCATGTAAGATGCAGCAAAACAACTGTAATCAAGCTTGTTACGTCCTTAGATCGTAATATCCGAGGTATTAATTCCGCCCGGCTATTTACACCGGGGGAAAGGAAAGCATTAGCGAAGTCTAAAGTTCATCAATAATCGCGGGCGCGTGACTATGGTTCATGGGTGGACCTCAGGTTTTAATCTGATCAACCAGCTCCAAGGTGACTGGCTGAGCGAATTGAAACCATATCATTCCAATGATCATCACAAACATTGAAGTTTCTCGGTAAAAACATTGAACTTTGTCGCGTGAATAGACGATGCTTTTAATATCTGCGACCGTTCATCCTTAGTTGCAAGCGACAGTAGTTAGGCCTACAAGCTCGGAGTTGGCTGTAAAAATTCAGCGCAGGGGCCGTTTATGTGTCAGTTAGATTGAAACGCAGAAAAATTTGATAAAATGACATGTTAAAAAATTTAGCAAGATGGAGGCATCACATGTGATATTTGATTTTGTTGTTTCTGATGAAATTTGTTGACTCTCGACTTTTTGCTCTGTCGACTCTCGACTTTTTGCTGTCGACTCACGACTTTTTGTTGTCGACTTTCGACTTTTTGCCGTCGATTCTTGACTTTTACTCTCGACTCTCGACTTTTACTCTCGACTCTCGACCTATGCTCTCGACTTTTAGATACACTCGTTCTTCACCGCTAATCAATGGCCATGTATTTGCATCACTCGCACACTGTCTAAGTTCTTCTAATTCGTGGATCTGTCTATGGGTAAACTCCGTGAAAACTAGATCTATCAGCTTGTCCTTCAAAATATTTACATAGATATATCTTCACCTTTCGGCGAAGAGTTTTTTTCTCCTAAAATATTTATTAAAAAAACAACCCAAAAAACTCGAAAAAACCCAAAAAAAACAAAACAAGTTTGCCAAGATTTTCCTAACGTCTCATCATTCAGAGCCTAAAATGTCAAGCCAGAGAAAGACAAGTATAAACATTGTCGTCATCAATATGTAGTCCTGCATCATTTCACTAATCATATAAATATTTAATCATTACATCATATCCGTTCACAATAAATAACTTACCAATGTTACCTATGTTATGAAAATTCCGGTTTTATTTGAACCAATTACAATTACTTGTTTACCTCCTGCACAGTAGCCTAGCTACTACGCGTTTGTTTGTGGGCATCGGCAGAGGCGCCGGAATATCGATAATTGGGGGGGGGGGCAGATATTCATATATTCGTGTTCTGCCCAATCAATTTCTTTTGAAATCGATTGTTATTACAGTCTGTGAACACGAATATATGAATATCTGCCCCCCCCCCAATTATCGATATTCCGGCGCCTCTAGGCGTCAGCGAAAAATAAATGCCTGCTATACAGGCGATCTATACACAGTCACTCTTGAGACCTCTATGGAAATTAATTCAACATGCCAGTAAATAAATGGAAAGTTTAGACCGTTTCCAAAATCTAAATAACAATAATTAAATGGCATATTTATAAAAATATTGTAAATATCTGAACCAGAGGCAGAGCAGAAACGCGTGAAATGAAACTGCAACGTCCGAACCCCGAGAGAGCATATGAACAATTTCAAAGAATACCATCACACGACTTTATTGCTCAACTTCCTGAGTTGTCTGTTGCTATTAAAATCTTTTTGGCATGTTTTTGTAATTTAAAGGCAAACAGAAACCAAATTTAGCAATGAAGTTCTTGCTTGTATACAGAACACTCACTCAAAAACATGTAATATGAAACTTTTCTCTCACACCCTTAGCCAATCAGTTTTCTATGTCACCAGCTCCGACCAGGTTTTTCCTCCACAATAGGGAAATGGTTCACGATAATCAAATCCATGGTTGACGTTAATCATAACCATGGTTTACCATACTCATTACCATGATTCCCGATAATCATAAGAATGGGTCACGATAATAATCATAACCATGGTTCACGTCATCAAGTACACGACCGTTTGAACGCATAACGTGCATGGTCATATGTACGATCTTTATGTGTACCACCACCGTTTGTACATATAACTCGGTATTTAAACGATAGTTGCATTTCACTTATAGGATGTTTGAAGATATTGGAGAAAGAAATTGTACCAGAATCAACACCACTCACTGCAAGTGCGGAATATCGCAAGAGTTTAGCGATTGGCCTGTTTTATAAGGTAAATTCAGCTTTTCCTCCTGGATGGTTTTTGGACTTGGTCTAGGTTTCTAATTACCTCTAACAGTTGGTTAAGTTTTCACCTTGCTTTGTATAGGCTTGTGTTTAGTGTTTAATGTTTAGTGTTTAGTGTTTAGTGTTTAGTGTTTAGTGTTTAGTGTTTAGTGTTTAGTGTTTAGTGTTTAGTGTTTAGTGTTTAGTGTTTAGTGTTTAGTGTTTAGTGTTTAGTGTTTAGTGTTAGTGTTTAGTGTTTAGTGTTTAGTGTTTAGTGTTTAGTGTTTAGTGTTTTGTCCTTGTGACTCTATGTGTTTGTCTCTCACGGCGATAACTGAAAAGATGTCCAACTCATTAATACGAAAATGTATGGGGCTACTATAAATAGTCCAATTTGGGTCATTTTGGATGAAAATTAGCAAAATTTGTCTTGGTCTCCGGGTTGAGTAAACGGAATACGAATTAGCCCATTGTAGAATTAGTCTGGAATGATAACTCTTTTTTTTAATTAAAGTTTTCTATTCTAATTCACTTCTCAACTGTCCCAAAAATTTGAAACTTTTGGACAGTCCCATAACTTGTTCTGTACTGAAATAAAGGTATTGTTGTCTATGTTGAGCTTTATCCTTGCTCAAACAAAGTGTATTGTGTGAAAAATAAACTAAAGAATTCTGAGCATTGTATTTTCGGCAGCATGAATGGCTTCAAATATGGCGGCCAAAATATCGTTGCAGTTCCGTTAGACTTCAGTGGTTCTCTCTGAGTCCTATGCAGTGCCACTATATAATGTGCGTTACCAACCCTAGGAATGCAAGGAAACACAGGCAACTACTTTGCAAGCAATCTACGATCGACACTCCATGCAATTTATAAGCCAATTCAGAATCTCTACTGCGCATCCAAATGACGCGTTCTGCGACGGGATAAATTTCAGTTGAATCAGAAGATGCATGCAGCTGAGACTGGAAGCGCGCATTTAATATTATATGCATGTCAATCATTATTTGCATTTCACTTATAGTCACAATAGAACTGTCGCTAAATCATTTTTGTACTAGAATGTTTTGTCTTCCTTGTGAAGCAAAATAAAAAAGGTACACTTTATGGATTATATTTTCTAATTTAAAGCGCGTCAACTGTGCGTCGAACAGTTAATTAAGTTAACCTATAACAAGACTTCGTTTGGTACTATAGGAATGTTTATTGTATTAATATATTCTATAATGTGATTTGCATTTTTTGGTTTACACTTTTGTTTTGACTAAATTTGTCACGTGATCGCTTTAACATTCACTAATGTATAAAAGTTCATGTAATTTTGCCGACCCCCGTTACTAACTTCTTGATGAAGGGCATTCGCTCGGAACGTCGAAGTTCTTGTATTTTTCAAGTATTTGCATCCCTACTAACCGAAGTATGTATTCTAATTCTTTCAGTCGGATATACATGTTATAATTCAATGGACCTTTCACCTTTTGACTAAAATTTAGATTTCAACGAAACTTCGGAATATTACTAATTTTGTGATGCTCTTTCAAGCTGTGATAAAATTTTTCTCTAGACTTGTTGAAATCTAATTTTTAGTCAAAAGGTGAAAGGTCCATTGCATTTATACCGACGCAGAAGCGTCATTTGGATGCGCATGCATGAAGTCGAGTGTGTATCAATGTGCAAAATCCCACTCCTTGTAACGTTTTGCCGAAAAGCACGCTCGCGGCAGCCCTCTTCCACATCATACATCGATCAGCTCAGCGTTTCACCGCCCACTGTATAAGCACCCTGGTAAAGTATACGGCAAAGGCAACCGCTAGACATAGTCACGTGGTTCCTTGCGGTTCGCTATTCCATCGAAAAACCTAAAATTTGAATGTCCCTAATAACTACTGTATTTTCTTCAATATAGTTTTACCTTACGCTTCTTGGTGACAAAGCAAGTGAGAGAGTACGTTCAGCTGCTGTTCCCTATGTGCGACCAATATCGTCAGGTCAACAGAGTTTTGGTACAACACCAAGTGAATATCCTTTGACTAAACCTATGACGAAAACCACAGCAAAATTACAGGTAAACGTAGCCTTGACGTACCTAAATCCGGAAAGTGCGTGACCTCAGCCATAGAGCCTCGTTTCTGTGATTGCGACGTAGGGCTTCAAACTAACGCCACGTACACGAAAACGAGACTCTGCTGCCAAGGTAACGTATTTTCTGAACGTGTGTATTCTTTTTCATAATGTTTACATATTGGGATCAGGTGTGGGAACTGTATCCACTTTCTACCTGGCCACATGAACAAGTATGCAGTAGGCCTATATTAAGATTAAGTAAAACACTACGCATTATAATCAAGTTTTATTATTAATTATTATATCATTATTATTATAAATGTTTGTTTCTCCAAAAATGGCCTTACAGAACCAATTACAAGTACTAATTATAACATGAGCATCCGATCTTACAAACTCTCGCCGAAAAGTTGAGTTTATTGGCGAAGTAATTTTAAAAATAAACATTGTCTAAGCCAAGAAAATCAAAGCTGAAGTTTGTGTAAATCAGGACAAATATTTATCCGATTTACAAACATTGATTAAACAATCCTTTCTTTTGAATTTTCTTCATGAATTATTGTCATTAATAATTGAGTAATATGATAATTCAATTCATTTACCACTTCACTCAATTGAATTACATTGATTATTTTAATTAAATTTAGGTATATTTATATTTATGTATGTCAAATTGAAAAGAAAGGGAGTGGCGAGAAGACCTCAGAAAGTCAAAGACTTGTATTAAGAGCCAATCTCATTATTATTCAGAACAAAATTTAAGGCAAATTTTTTTTAAAATTTGATTTGTTGCATCGGTTTATAATTAAAGCTCCTATAGACCTTTTTAAAAAATCTGCCTTGTGACGTATTTTGCGGATAAAGGAAAACCCCACACAACCGTTTGACTTACCTGATTGGCCAAATGATCGTATTTATCAGCAAAGTATGTAACAAGGCAGACTTTTTAAAAAGGTCTATTGACATGTACATGCACTAATTGTTTTTAATGAAATATTTTTGCAATATATATACAATGAGTATTTAGTTTGAAGATATCCAATATATCTCATTTTTTGAAAATAACTAATATATGTTCTATGTTGAACATATAATAACTAATATAGCTATTAACTATAGCTAGTAGCTATATATTCACAGCGTTAATGTTTTAATTATTTACGATAATCCAAAACTATTTATTACAAATGATTTAAATGAGTTTCTTAATTCCTAAAAAATGTTAGGAGGTATTAAGTATATATAAGATAATATGACCTTCTTTGATAACATGTCCTTATAATTTTGCCCACTTGATGAGATTCGGCAATATAGCGCCGGGCAAGTCGTCAAGGATTTCTCCAATTACAGCAACTCCATAATTAACTTTACAATTACAGTAATTTTAACAATGGAAAAAAACTAATATAAGCCATTCTACAATCGATGCAACAGATAACTAACAACAACTTAAAGCTCCACCAAGGGGCATGGCCCATTCACATTTAACACACAGATTTGCAAGTTCGCGGATCATCGCAATTATATAAATATTGGATAGCGCGTTTTTGTAATATATCTTAATTTAGTTCAGATTTGAAAGCATGGAAACCGATTCTCTATTAGAGATACTAAATATATTTAAAACGTTTATACATACTCTAATAAAACATGTAGTCTGGCATGTTACAGTTTTAGCAAGAGTATTACAAATCTAATTAAGTTTTCGTTTCTTTCACGTTTGGTTATTCCTGATTCAGCTATTCTTGGTAGAGCACTTTCATCGATATAAGTATGGTTATTAATTACTATAAGACCAAGTTCAAATATTCATGCCAATTAATAAGTTAAAGCTGGTAGTAGGCCAAATGAAGTTGATGTAATCTTGTTATATGTAGCTATGAGACATTGGTGATAAACCCAGGTTTTAAGATGCATTTGATTGCTCTTCTCAAAGGTATAAATGTGTTTACCTTTATATTTATAGGCTTCTGGTGAGGCGCAGTACACAGACGATATACCCAAGCAAGAAGGAGAACTCTACGGTGCATTTGTCATGACAACACAGGTACGAATATCCAAAGCAATATGGAATACCTTTTCATTACGTAAATTTCAACTTAGCTTGCTTTGTCGAGTTAAATTTAGTTTAATTACCTCCATGGGGAGGTCATGTTTTCATCTGCGTTTGTATGTGTGTGTACCTGACATTGTGCGTTTGTCTGTCAGTACAATAACTTCAAAAGGTATCAAGAGATAATTTTTTTAATCTCTTTATGTCTGCGTTCTTTTAAAACATCTTTTATTTTTACGGCATTGAGGATTTAACGACAAGAAATCAAGAATAATGAATTTGGAGATGTACTGAATATTAATGCCAAATAAGTCCTGTTAAGCGTTCAAAATGACATCATAGACCAATATTTGCAAGTTTGCGGCACAGCAGTATTCTTTTCGAGACTTGCGAAATATTTATACACGGTAGCCTTTCACTTGCGCGACTTTCAAAGGGCCGTGTGTTTTAAAAAAAGAAATACAACATTTAACTAAGACATTACATTACACTACAAACTACAGTATTACAAAGTTTCATAATAATTATTAAGTAAGCTACGAAAAGAAGAAATAGATTGGGATTCGTCTACCACTCGTAAAAATTAATAGGGTTTTCTCGCGGTTTAATGTTATAACTGACTTGTTACTTGTTTGCCATTTCTGAGTTTAATTTGTACTCAACCTCTGAAGATGAGTGCCCCTTACAAGAATGGTTGGTGTCATCCGCAGAAATGGAAGCCTCGGTTGTCTGTAGGCAGTTAGGAAGGTCATTAATGTATAAGTTGAATAATAGTAAAGGACCAAGGTTTGAACCCTGTGGGACGCCACAATGAATTTCAACTACATCCAACACGGCATTGTTTATTTTGCAAACTTGTTTTTTTCTAATGTAAATAAGATTTAAACCGTTTGAGAGGTGTTTCCCTTACTCCACATTGTGTTTCCCTTACTCCAGAGGTATTTCTCTTACTCCACATGGTCGTCCGTTGTACATATTGTATCGCACGTACGTTTGTAAAATACTCGCGAAAATTATAACTAAAAGTTACTATCGCAAGGAAAGTGCTGCCTCGCCCCCATGGGATTAAAGGCAGCATGCGCACTAAGCTGAAGAAGGGGCTGTTTATATGATCCCGCTTTGCCAGGACGAGAAATGAGGGAGGATGATTTTACGTTTCGATGTATTGAAATGATTTGCATTATTCAAATAGATGCAGGTTTATTAGCATGGCATGACCAGTTGCCATGACTAGCTTACCACTGTATACTGTACAATATCATATATATAAATGATAATAATACTTGAATGAGAATTTAATATAGAATTGAATAACAATTTCATATATAGAAATACTATGTCAGTTTTTGTCCCAACTATCATTTTAATTGCACCTTCAAGGCTATCCCTATCGCAAAACTACTAAACAATCTGCTCATGGGGATCATCTGATTATCAATTTCCCGTTTGTAATGCAAAATGACTGAAAAACGGCAAACTTCGCAAGGCTATGTTATCTGCATTTTACAACATTTCGCAAAGAAACTTCGGCATATTACTAATTTTGTGATGCTCTTTCAAGCTGTGATTAAACTTTTGTCCAGCCTTCATCAAAATTTCACTCATAAGGGGAAAGGTCTATTGTGTGTTCCAATGTGGGCACGATATTGCTCAATTGATATTCTCTCATTATTCATGATAACAATATTAATAATAAACTATCACTGTGATAATTCATACCTTGAAGTACGATGTTCTATCAAGCTTAATCACATTTTTTACAAACAAACAATCGAAGAGCTCGGCCACTTGTTTATATGAAAACTTGTATGCACCTAAAAAATTAATAATGTATAAAATACAGTTAATCCATTCGTTTCAACAGGTAAACCGTACATGCGATACAATATGTACAGCGTACGACCATGTGAAAATAGCCTGCAAAGAAGGCGCGTTGAAGGGCGAAAATATTTATACGAAAATATTACGAAAGTTATGGCTGTGGTTATGGTATTTAAAAGTATTGAAAAACAGTGTTTTAGTGTTTATATGCAAATTAGCAAACGAAAGAAGACGAAGAATGCCTATTCACACATTTTACAGCCATACAGGTACACCAGTCTAAAAAAGAATACTGCTGTGCTCCCTTGGTCTCTAAAATGTCTTTTTTGACGTTTAAGGTGGCTCGCTACACTTTTATAAATATTAAAGATTTTCTGATTTGGATATGAATTTCTGGCTAAATACTATTTGTTTAATTTAAAAACCAAGAGTATCTGACTTGTATATAACGCAATAGCTAAGGAGTTCGAAATTTTTAAAAAAGTACTCCTAACTGCCGTTGCTATGGCAACAATGACGTCACATTGGTCACAACATGGCGGATATTTTATCTTAAAAATAATTTAACTCGAAAAAAACTTGGGTGACCCCAATTTTTTATTTCATAAAATGATTTCTTTTAGTATTTTGAATTATTTTCATGATTTAAAAAAAATTCTATCATCGCAAAAATAATTTATTACGAATTTTCACATTTTCCTATCTTGAAAAATTTCGGCATTACAGAATTTTTTTTTAAATTATGATAATAATTAAAAATACCAATTAGTAATCATTTTATGAAATAAAAAGTTAAATATCCGCCATGTTGTGATGTCATTGTTGCCATAGGAACGGCTGTTAGAAGTAGCATTTGAAGAATTCCGAACTCTTTAGTTATTGTGTTATGCCAGTCAGATATTGTTCGTTTTTAAACAAGTAATAATTGTCCAGAAAATCATATCCAAATCCGAAAATCTTTAAGTTAGAAAAGTGCAGGGAGCCACCTTAACAGGATTTATTTGGCATCAATATTCAATATGAAATGTTCTTTAAAATGTTTTGGATAAAGTAGAAGGTTAAGGAACAAATTAATATTCAAACAGTATAAAAGTATAAAACTGAAAAATATAACACAACTCACAGTTTTGGCTATTGCCTTTGGCTTTTCGCACAAAGAAGCCAATACTCTTTAAAGAAATATCAATAAGTAAATGAGAAATACGAAACGAACGGATAAAATTTTACAAAATATGCAGACCTAATAGCTAAAATTGCTTAAGTGGTTCCGAATATTTAAAACAATAGAAAAATATTAAAGTTAAATGTCATCGAAAATTTGCGTCATATAACGGTAGAACCCATTGAATTCGAGGGCAAATGGAAAATGTTAATATGGAAATTTGTCCAGAATATCAGGTTTCTATTTTGTGTTTTTAAGGGAAACTGTAAACTTGCAAATGTGGACGTATCTCAAGTCTTGGTAAGAAATTTTTCATTCAATATATGTATATATTTTATAATTTTTTTAAGAGCCAGTTATTAGTCATTTATAGGGAGCAATTCCATAATACCTTTTCATATAGATAATCAGTTTAACGTATACTCTGGAGGTGGATAGTGTTTACGCGATATTTGTCTAGTTTTTCCTCCCTGGATATCCTAGTGCTATTCGCCTGCGGACAAAACCAAATGGCTTTCTGTTTCGCTACGGTTACAGACGAGCAAATTTTTGTACTAAACAAAATATTTGTAATAAGGACCTATCTAAAATTTCATATTTTTTGCCCACCGGGACCTGTCGAAGATTTCAGCTTTTTTGCCCGGCCCTGTCAGTGAATATCATTACACTGTTTTACCTCCACTTGGTGAATAATTGTTAAATTATTTTGCGTCCATTTTTGCCGGGGGTTTCCCGGGCGCGGAGGCGCCCCGCTTCTGGGCACCCAAACACCCTCCAATTACGCCACTGTCGTTGTGAATTTTAGAACTTATTTTATGCTTTTAACTAGAGCAAAGTTCACACATTTGTTTCAAGTTCACACACTTGTTTCCATATAAAACACAACGTTCGTTCGTATGTTGAAGTCACACGTCTTTATACAAGCGCTATTTTACATATATACGAAGAACGTAACCATCGGAGATATAGCCCGCGTGCAGGCCCTAGGAACTGATAGTGGGCCTGCAAGCAAGGCCCGGTATTTTGTACTTTCCGCGTTCGCCCACGAACGCGGCATTCTGATTGGCTGTTTGCTGTTGGATTCTATAATTAGGTCAGCCGATTCATCACAAAGGCTCTCGATAAGCTCAAAATTCGAAAATTGATAACTTTTTTCGATTATAAATGGAACAAGAACAGACTGTGTATTGTTTACTTGAAGGAAGAGATGTTTTTGCCGTTATGCCAATGGGGATTGCTTGTCGTGAGGTGTTGGAATAGCAACATTACGACTGGGGTAAACTCCTGGGTAAACTATAGTAACCTTTACTTGAGTTTCATTAATTTCAAACAGACTCGATACGTTATATGTTCCTCAAGAAAATTATCTTTTGGTTGATGTTGAGCCTGTTCGAAACACTTTGCGATTTACAAGGCTTCGCTGAGAGAGCGAAACAGAAGACGGTATTATTAAAATTGCCGTTTGAAACGAAACGATCTGGACTCTGAACGCTCTCTTCTTTTGTAGAGTTCTTTACCAAATTAAATAACTGAAATAAATTTCGTACTTTCCGCCGCCAACAAGAATTGCACACACGATCTGATAAGTGAGACAATTTATTTATAACAATGCCAATGGCGACAGCGAAGCACACATAATATAAATGCTAATGTGGTCGCACGACTTCCCTCACGATTTGAAGTTTGAGACTGGTTTTCTGTTGAAATTCGTCCTAATTTGCCTGTTCCGATTTTAGTTGAAAATGAGCACTTGCAAATTTGGCAATTACTGACTGCGTTGCTTGCTTTTTTGGAGTTAAAACGCAGCCATTTACACATTGTTTATGTTCTGAATAAGCAGAGAAAACCCCGCAACATTTTAATGCGAGTTTGTTTGTTAATATTTGGGTGCTGTCATTGGTTCTTTTTGACAATTGACGCGCGAATGGGGCGTGTTATGAAAAGGGGCGTTTTACAAAATGCCGGGCCTTGCTTGCAGGCCCACTATCAGTTCCTTGGGCCTGCACGCGGGCTATCGGAGATAAAACCCTACGGAGCCACCTTAACGCCAGATAACATGCCAAAGGTGGGCCTTTTTTTATACACCGTGTTTAGTGATTCTGCTCGAAATTTTTATCTACAAATCCCTTAGTTAAAAATAATTGAGATACAA